TAATGCTGGATGGCCCCTTACAGTGCTTTTCTTTACTTGCTTGCATTCTGCAGTCTCGGCAAGCGGATGTCATCCGCCTACTGGAGGGCTGCACGGCAATCTACTACTTGTGTGAGGCGCACTCGATCACTGAGGCCAAGTCCAGCATCCGCGAGACCATTCAGAAACTCTACGACATCGGTAAGCCGTTCTTGTTAGAGTGCACACCACTTGGTACAGTAAAACCTGGTTTAAGCGACCACACCCCACGGTGCAAGCAAAAGCGGTCGTTAAAGCCAGGTGGTCTTTAGAAACAGGTCCCACAGTGTCTGTGTCTAGATCTGTCGCTTACACCAGGTGTTACTATAGCTGGTATTACCGGTCTACCCTGGTCTACCCTGGTTAGTAGATAACCCAGTGGATCTCAAACTCAGATGGTGAGCCAAGGAAAAAAATTGTAACATGGAAAAAAATTGTAACATGGAAAAAAATTGTAACATGGAAAAAAATTGTAACATGGAAAAAAATTGTAACATGGAAAAAATTGATTTCAAATTGTTTGTCTTATAACTGCTGTAGTATTATCTACTATCCGGACGTGAATGCACGTGTTCCAGGTGTCAGGGGATTTTTGATCGTTGTCTACTAATGAGGTTTGTCTTGTGACCGATGTTGTGCTAGCGAGGGCAGACCGGTTCTCAGCTGTGCCGGTTGATGGCGTAGGCGACGCTTTGGGTGATAGACCGCCTCACCACCGTTGCTTCGTCTAAGCATTGCGAAGACAATGAAGGGGCCGGATTGATGTAATACATCCCTGTTCCCCCTATTGTGATGTTATTGGGATTCAGAGCTGGCAAATGTTACCCCTCACCCCTAAGTCCCGTGACTTGCTGTGTGCTGGTGGTAGGGGATGATTTGATCGGGCGTATCGCTTTGATTTTGATTTTATCTATTGTCTTATCATGCAAAGAAAAAGGGTTTGCTTTCCACGCTGGAGCTCGCGCTTTTCCGCCGACTTGACTTGACACTTGATTGAATCACTCAAGTGTCGAGTCAAGTCGGCGGAAAGCGCAAGCTCCAGTGTGTGGAGCAAACCCTTTCCTAACAAATCAACGCCAAAGTCGCTGCCACTATTTCGTACGCTGCTCCTTGTCTTCAGATCATGACGGAAACTGTTCGTGCCTTGTAGCCCGGGTCGAAAGTGACACACAGTGGGTGGATGGGCCCGCACAGTAAGAGCAGAGGAGGGGCAGGGAGGGGAGCAGTGATTCGGGGGAGGGGTAGGAGCAGGGGAGGGGCATTGAGGGGCAGGGGCAGGGCAGGGGGCATTATTGCCCCACACATCTTGCCGTGCCTTGGTTTGTAGTTCAGCCGGTGGATATTCTAACATGACCACCGTGTTGCAGACAGAAAGATAATCAAAGGTGATGATTCCACCGCACCAAAGGGTATCCTCAAACTAACCACACAGAGGACAAGTGATCGACTCAGCATTGACTGTAAGTGGACGACCGTGGTCATGCCGCGTTTCGGCAGTTGCGTTGCGTTGAGTTCGGTCGTGCACCGTTGGTAGTTGAACAGCAGACTACCCGGCCTCTTCTCCTCCTTGGTTGTGTATTGGCAATCATGCATCAGCCGAGTAGTGTCTGCAGACCAGAGTACACAAGTTAATACCAATTTATCCAACGACGCAATGATAAGATGACCGAACACACACTGTAGTCCGGTTTAACTCCAGTAACGGTGGTATCCACGTGGGCTTTGTTCAGCAACTGACATTACGCGCATTCTCCTGTTGTCGTCGAGCTGGTGGACTGCTCATTCGGCTTCATCTTCTGCTGTTTGTGCGAACCAGCGTTCTCCCCGGGAGTTTAGAGTCCACACGCCAAACAGGCCATTTGGAAATGGTTGGTGTTCCATTTCACTGCCGTACAAAGGTCAATCCATGCGTTTCCAGTGCATTGTCCTTCTTCCTGTGTGCTGTTGTTGGGTTGTGGCACTGAGATTGTGTTGTGTTTCCCATGCCTCTTATCCTCACACCGGTGTTGCAGGACTAAGCAGAAGAAAGTCTGAAGAAATTGAAATTACAGTAAAACCTGTAACTAACGACCACCCCTTGGGGCCCAGAGAAAGCCGTATTTTGTGGCAGGTGGTCCTTAGTTAGAGGTTTACACCGAACAACTATGAATGTGAGACCGTCCGTGCCTGGCAAAGTGGTCTGTAGTAGCAGGCTGGTCGCTAGTCACCCTGGTCTTTAGTTACAGGTCTTACTGTATAAACAGGCAGGGGAAGTGAACTGCCAGAAAAATGAGAAAAATGCCAACCCCCTCCTCCAGGACTCGAACCTGGGGACTTGCTCGTCATGAGCAATGCTCTAACCATCTGAGCTGTGAGACCAGGTCGAGCGCATTCCCATTTGAATTGAAATTGACGTCCCATTTCTTGTGTGCGTGTGTGTGTGTGTGCGCGTGCGTGCGTGGGTACGGGCATGCGTGCGTGTGTTTACAGCTCAGAATCGCATTCACGACATTGCCATCTCGTCCGAGTTGGACGACCAGGTGCGCAACATACTATCCAGCCAGCGTACGTCCCGGGCTGCAAATAAGTGGTTGAAGCACTACTCCAAGAACAAGTCCACGCAGAAGCCGACTGGCTCGGCCGGCTCCATCATTGACGCATTCCAGGTTCGTGTGTGTGTGTTTGTGTGCGCGTGCGTGTGCGTGTGTGTTTGTGTGCGCGTGCGTACGTGTGCGTACGTGTGTGTGTGTGTGTGCGTGTGTGTGTGTGTGTGTGTGCGTGTGCATGCAGCGCTTTCTAGATTGAGTGCGGGTTTTTGTTATAATCGTTACTACTGCGTTTATGTGTAAATGCATAGCACGATTGCTCTGTGCTGTATCCGAATTCATTACCTCACCATTTCTAATAATGGCTTCTTGCGTGTTCTCTTGGCCAGGATCTGCTGCGCAAGTTTGACGAGATCATTCAGCCGCTAGTGGCCAGCGAGATGTCTGTGTTGGTGGACGTCTTCCACCGGCCCGGCCTGCTCTTCCCTAAGGGTAGCCGCGGTGTCGAGTGGATTCGAAACGGAGGATTTCTGCGCAGGTAAGAGGAAGAAGACAGCAGTTAACTTGCCTATGAGGTACCTGTATGCTGAGCATTGAACAGATAATAATTGAACAGCTTTCGTAGTAGCGGAAACTTTTCCTTTACGTTTTGCGTAGTAGAATGTTGCTGGAAAATAGCTCCTCATGTGTAAAAACTGTCGCAGTTGACGTTCAAGGGAACTCAGCTCGTCCGTTGCTCTGTCTCACGGTTCTTCCCCCCCACCCCTCCACTCCCCTGGCATGTTGATCTTGTCTTGTCCAGGTTGATCTCGCACACCGAACGTTGTGATGAGCGTCTGTGCATCGATATCCTGGGTATACTGCAGCAGATGTTGGACAAGCAGACGGCCGCCTTCGACGAAGACATGGTGCGTTCAGCTGTATTACTTGTACGAACACCGTATTATACTGAGTATACGCCGCACTGGAGTATAAACCGTATCTACATTTTTTGTCACGAAATACAGACAAATACCGTATTTACTACCGTTAATTTGATCATGCATGTGTCTGCACGTGTATGCTCATATTTGACCGGTGCCTTTACTTACCACAGGCGTAGATACGATTATGGGCCTCTTTGACATAACACCCAGCAGCGTGCTGAGGTCCACACGCGAGCTCCATACTCAAGAAGGCGGCTCCAGCGCGTTATGCGTTGTGTCAGTGACTGCATCAGCCGTCAGTGGTGGTAGCGTGGTCACAAACGCGTACACCATTGTCGTCGTTGCAAACGCGAAAGGTATTCCGTATTTCGTCAACGGGTAGGGTGAAAAAAGATTGATCCTATGTACCGTTTGTATGTGTTCGTTTCTCTGGGAGGGGGGAAGGGGGTTGAAGAGAAATGACTAGTTTTCGTTTCCGAATTAATGTCTGTATTTACAGATGACCCCTAATATAAATTGTGTTGTGTGTGTGGATTGTATCTTTGTCGTGTCCTCACTCAGGCAAAGTCGCTGCGGGTACAGCTGCTAGAGCGCTACTTCGACAGTCCTTCACCGGCGGACGAGAAGCACCTGCAGAGGAGTCGCTTCACGCTGCAGAACTTGATCACGTTTAGGTTTCGTACCGCCTATCCCGAGCAGGCTGCCTCTGCGTCCAAGCAGTCGCGCGAAGGTCAGTGTGCAATCCCGTGTATGTATGTGATGAGTACTATCACTGTATCTGGAGTGTTGGCAGAACGGCGACTGATCTTCAAAAGAGCTTGATTATGAGGGTGGAGCAAGTCAAGTATGCATGAATTAGTTTCTCCAGTTCATGTGAGCACAACGCGCGGATCTGGCCCTGCATGGACCATTTTACGAGGCTGCATGTGAACTACAGTGGAAGGTCATGTGACCTTTACCATAATATGTGATGCATTGTGTATGTGCATTGTTGTTGCTGCATTACCCTTGGTAGGTTCCGGAGCAGTTTCCAAACTGGACAAGCGACGGAATCTGCTATCGCGCATGATGAGTGTACCACGTGTCCACGGCTCTGTGCATGGGATCGAGCAAGCCAAGGGAGAGGCCAAGCACAGCATTACGTTTGATGATATCGAGAACAACGAGATCATACTCATCCGCCCGCTGGTGAGGTTCTCATGCAATGCCTGCTCTCGTGTGTGTGGAGGGGGGGGGGGGGGGGGGGGGGGAGTTGAGCGGAGCAATGAAGCACTTCAGTATACCATACCCTGCATAATGGTAAACCAGTCATTCGACCTTGGACATGCAGTAGTACGACTCGCATCTAGGCTATGAGTACATATTTTATGGCTGCTGGATGTATGTGATACTGATGTGTCACTGTATGGTTTTTGTGTGAGGGTTCATATACTCGTGTGTTTGTCTGATTGTCCTGAAATGGCCAGCGTAGCCAGATACCGTATTTTCGGCTGTGCTGGCCTCAGCCAGCACAGCCAGCACACACAATATGGACGCTTACATTGTAGTACACTGCAAGCTCTATAATGTCACCCGATTTGAAAAAAATAAACAAGTTCCTTGGCATGATGTGGCGCTTATGTCATGAAAGACCGGCCCTAATTGCAGAAGTATAGTATTGATGTCACGTGACACACCACGTAACAGTGGTTGAATAGCATGTGCATGGAGTTCCCTGTGGTTTGTTCTACCCTTGCAACCATTGTGTTCTCTATCTGTGTGTGTGGGTGGCTTGGTGTGTGTGTGTGTGTGTGTGTGTGTGTGTGTGTGTGTGTGTGTGGCTTGGTGTGTGTGTGTGTGGTTTGGTGCGTGTGTGTGTGGGTGTGTGTGTGTGTGTGTGTGTGTGTGTGTGTCTGTGTCTGTGTGGGTGTCTCTCACACACAGCTGCCCAAACCCGACCTACAATGTCTGCTAGACCAGGCCCACGCCACCGAGACTGTCATACAGCTGATGATGGCCTCACAGGGTGGTGACCTGTTCATGGAATGTGTGCGCCTAGCCATACAGCTGCTCGACGGCGGAAATCGACCTGTCCAGGTGAGATACAGAGGACATGCTATGACGTCAGATCCGCCTTTTATGGGATCTAGATAAGTGATAAAATGACTGTTTATGGGGAAAGTGCATACAGAAACCCTATAAAATATAGAAGAACTTTGAGTGGCAAACGCATCCTTGTTTTGTTTTGCATGCTGGCCTGTTTCCCCCAGTATTCTGGCATTCCAGCGCACGGACTCACCTGGTGGAGTTTTGGGCGCACTGTTCCGAACAAAATTTATTCTCATTTCAGTTCCCGTGGATGGAATTTCATTGGCCTCGGCTTGTTGGAAAGATCCGTACCAAGAAAATCCATCCTGGAAGTTCTCAGCTCCATAGCCCCATCAGGGCCACTTCCATGACCTCTCCAAATGGGCCCAGCATGCCTCGGAACGAAACAACACCTCAATCACACATTCTTTTTCGGCTCCTTGCTCAAATTCAACCGATTTTCACCGGTCAAACTGCTCTGCGAAGCTGAGATCCACCCGCTTCATTTGATGTCCATACCGCATGTGCTGGGCAAAAGGGAAATCCCTGACATGCTCCAAAAAATTGCGCGAAGTCACGAACAAAATAATTCGCGGTCGGTCCATGCGTAATTTCCGTGTTCTTTTTGTCGCCGCGAAGTCAAACTTTATCCTATCGCGATGAACTGCTGCTTATGGATGATGCAGGCATTCTGCACAGCTTCCTCGATGAAGTGAAAAGCAATTTTGAGATACCACTTGTATGTTTTGCGAAGGGCTGAGTAAGCGTTTATCATCATGTCATTCTTGTCCACTCCACCCATGAACTTGCTGTACTGATGATTGATCTCAAGCCGGCAGATGTGTTGATTGTCTCGAGTGCGCTTTCTTGTCCGTGTGGTGCTGATGTTGTGTACTCTTATATTTGAAAGAAAGAACACAACCTTCCGGTCATGTTGTGTATATTTGAAAGAAAGAACACAACCTTCCGGTCATGTTGTGTATATTTGAAAGAATGAACACAACCTTCGGCCATGCAACTTCAAGCACAGCAGTGGGCCAAGCCTGCAAAAAATGCATACTTGCCGTTGGCAGGATTAGCGTTCTTGAGGACTTGGCGGGATGCCAACGCAATTAGCACGCATTGTGCCACACGTCAAGCACGTCGAGAAGTGGCTTCACTTTTCTCAGTTTAGCTGACTCGTCTGGGTCGGGCGCTTCATTGTGGGAAAAATGAATGAACTGCTGTATGAGTTTGAACGGCCGTGATGTCATTGCTACACCGAAGATAACTTAGGTGTTGAGAGTAGCGGGTCTGATGACCAATAGAGATGTACTTGCGGCTTGTGAACAAGACCAGTTAGCAGCCATAGCGCAATTAAAACCTTCGTTTCACGCACAGTGACAGGGACCCAACTTCTGGCTCTAGCCTGGGTTGGCGGTGTATCCTTGTTGTGCTGTAAGTGCTGCCGTGCATACCTATTCGTCTCCGTGACACGGAGTTGCCAGAATGATGCCGTAAAAAATAAATTCAAGTAGTACATCACAGACGAGCCAGCTGGTGGTGGGGTAGTTAGACCTGGATTTCCTGTGAAAGGCGGTAAGACTGGTTTGTCATTACGACATGTTCATTGCGAATCGTCTCTTGCGGCATCACTGTCATCAATATCATGGAAAGGCGTATGCACAACAAAATCTCCCTGTGCCGCACCATTTCCAGGAGCAAATCCACCATCATCTAGTTCTGTCCCATCATCACCATCAACATCGTCAGCTACAGGCCCATTGTCGTCCATATCTACGTCATGAGCATGTGCAGTAGCGGCAGCATCAGTCAACACCTGTCCTCCGTGTACACCCACAGGTTCATGATGCGATTCGCCACGTGGACGATTTTGTCCGCCATTAGCCGCGGAGCAAGCTCTTGGCTGCGCTTCGCCTTGCTCCGCTCACTGCGGTAGGCTACCTTTCAGCTCGCCGTCCCTAGGTCTTGGTTCAGCTGGATGAGCGTCAGGCTCCACACGATTCACTAGATCCGCGCCAGCAGCTATGTCAGCCAAATAAATTCAAATTGTTCTCCGCTCGTAAATCGCGATCCTCGTCTGAGTCTGAGTCTTCCGAATCGCCCGAATCAGAACTAACCTCTTCATAATCACTGTCAGGATCCATCAGTACAATCCTGATCGCTTCCTCTTCAGAAACACGGCGTGACATCTTGAAATACCCGCCACGACCGATCGCGCAATTGTCATGAATAAATAAGTATACACACGCGCATGCAGACGCTTTGTACTTGGGCATGCCTGCACCTACGGACTTCAAAATTAATGTTCTCTGCGCATGTCAGGACATTCCACTCGCGTAACCGCACACGCAGGTTGGGCCAGGATCACGCTAGGGGGCCTGGCCCACATGATCTAGAGCACACTGTTTGAGCGCGAGTATACTCGTCATTGCCCAGACGCGATGGGGTCTGCATGACGAGTATACTCGTCATAAACCCGGAAAGGGTTAAGGAGCTACGAACGGGATTCGAACCCAGCACCTTGTCTTTCCGGGACAGCGCCCTACTGATTAGGCTACCGGGGATGACACACCTCCTGTACCATGGCTCCTTCTTGCTACACTGCTCCCCGCGCCCCCTCCCGGTCCCAACATGAGGTTGTGTCCTCACGCCGTACCTACTCGTGTGTGTGTGGGGGGGGGGGGGGGGGGGGGGCTAGATGGGTCGTGGGTTCGGGAGACATTGCCAGGCGTTAATGTTGCTAAAGAAGGATCCACGAGCGGGCCTAATTTGTGTGGTCATGACAACCCGTCGTTGTTTCATCAGTTTCATTTGCGTGGTCATGACAACCCATCGTTGTTTCATTTGTGTGGTCATGACAACCCATCGTTGTTTCATTTTTGTGTACGTGTATGCTGTTTTGCTTGTAGAACTCCTTCTACAACTGCTTCATGCAAGGTGGCACGGACAAGTTCTTCAAGGCCATCCACGATCGCATGCAGGAAGCGGAGAAGGAGCTGAAAGGAAGCTACTCGGTCACGACCGGAGGAGCAGTGCGGGTACGGGACTCTGGTGCATTGCATTGTACATTGCCACTCTCTCCTGAAGGGATGGCAGTTTGAGATGTACAGCACTGCTCAATGACATCCAGTCAAGTCACTCAAGTACACGCCGGGCATTTCGCAGCCCTAGACCTGCCAGCACAGGGCTGCGAAAAGGTGCAAGGCGTAAACTTGACTCTCGCGACTGGTTTTCAGTGAGTAGCACTGTATATTTCAACGTTCTCTGAGATTTTACAGTAAAGCAGTATTGCCATCTCGCCAGTCTGCAGGCTTTTCTTCTCTCCAGATCACAGTATAGTATAGTATTTAGTCGTATTTCTCTAGGGCAGTCCCCACAGACCTCTGGTCTCCTTAGGGGCCATCCGTAAATATCGATAATATAGAAACGAAAACTAGTCGTTTCTCTTCAACCCCCCTCCCTCAGAAACAAACACATACAAACGATGCATTGCATCGATATTATTTTTTTCTTTTCCTTTCTGGACGTGCCCACACATACAAACTGTGCATCGATATTTTTCGAGAAACGAACAGGCGCTAAACCCCCCTAAACGACTAGTTTTCGTTTCTAAATAAATATCTATATTTACGGATGGCCCCTTACGGCGTACCCTAGGAACTGTTCATGACGAGATATCTATAACTACAGTCCATCCATTGGAAACTGGCACCCTAACGTTTTTGTGTCTCCCGCACATAGTTGTAGGTATCGTGAAAACAACAGTACATCCTGCATTGTGGGACGCGTGCAATTACTCCTTGCCACATTTGAGGCCAGAAAAGTCCAAGAACAGGGAAATAGAAATTCAGCCAGGTTTTACGAAATTAGGGCAGGTATGCCATGGGAAAATGTATGGAGAAGCAGATCCCAAGCTCCGATTTTTGAGATTTAAAGTGCGTTTTTGATCCTCAATTCGGCCCAAATTGGACTTTCAGAAGCCAGCGGGACTGTTTCTGATGAATGGACTGTAGTTACTGTGGAGTGTGGAGTGTGGGGTGTGGGGTGTGGGGTGTGGGGTGTGGGGTGTGGGGTGTGGAGTGTGGAGTGTGGAGTGTGGGGTGTGGGGTGTGGGGTGTGGAGTGTGGAGTGTGGAGTGTGGGGTGTGGGGTGTGGGGTGTGGGTTGTGGAGTGTGGAGTGTGGGGTGTGGGGTGTGGGGTGTGGAGTGTGGGGTGTGGGGTGTGGGGTGTGGAGTGTGGAGTGTGGAGTGTGGGGTGTGGGGTGTGGGGTGTGGAGTGTGGAGTGTGGGGTGTGGGGTGTGGGGTGTGGAGTGTGGAGTGTGGGGTGTGGAGTGTGGGGTGTGGGGTGTGGGGTGTGGAGTGTGGAGTGTGGGGTGTGGAGTGTGGGGTGTGGAGTGTGGAGTGTGGAGTGTGGGGTGTGGAGTGTGGGGTGTGGAGTGTGGAGTGTGGGGTGTGGGGTGTGGAGTGTGGGGTGTGGAGTGTGGGGTGTGGGGTGTGGGGTGTGGAGTGTGGGGTGTGGAGTGTGGGGTGTGGAGTGTGGGGTGTGGGGTGTGGAGTGTGGGGTGTGGAGTGTGGAGTGTGGGGTGTGGGGTGTGGAGTGTGGAGTGTGGGGTGTGGAGTGTGGGGTGTGGAGTGTGGAGTGTGGGGTGTGGAGTGTGGGGTGTGGAGTGTGGGGTGTGGGGTGTGGAGTGTGGAGTGTGGGGTGTGGAGTGTGGGGTGTGGAGTGTGGAGTGTGGAGTGTGGGGTGTGGAGTGTGGGGTGTGGGGTGTGGAGTGTGGAGTGTGGGGTGTGGGGTGTGGAGTGTGGAGTGTGGAGTGGGAGTGTGGACTGTGGACTGTGGACTGTGGACTGTGGACTGTGGGGTGTGGAGTGTGGAGTGTGGAGTGTGGGGTGTGGAGTGTGGAGTGTGGAGTGTGGGGTGTGGAGTGTGGAGTGTGGAGTGTGGGGTGTGGAGTGTGGGGTGTGGGGTGTGGAGTGTGGAGTGTGGAGTGTGGGGTGTGGAGTGTGGGGTGTGGGGTGTGGACTGTGGACTGTGGGGTGTGGAGTGTGGAGTGGGAGTGTGGACTGTGGACTGTGGACTGTGGGGTGTGGAGTGTGGGGTGTGGAGTGTGGGGTGTGGAGTGTGGAGTGTGGGGTGTGGAGTGTGGGGTGTGGGGTGTGGAGTGTGGGGTGTGGAGTGTGGGGTGTGGGGTGTGGGGTGTGGAGTGTGGGGTGTGGAGTGTGGGGTGTGGAGTGTGGAGTGTGGGGTGTGGAGTGTGGGGTGTGGAGTGTGGGGTGTGGAGTGTGGAGTGTGGAGTGTGGGGTGTGGAGTGTGGAGTGTGGGGTGTGGAGTGTGGAGTGTGGGGTGTGGACTGTGGAGTGTTGAGTGTGGGGTGTGGAGTGTGGAGTGTGGGGTGTGGAGTGTGGAGTGGGAGTGTGGAGTGTGGAGTGTGGAGTGTGGAGTGTGGGGTGTGGAGTGTGGAGTGTGGAGTGGGAGTGTGGACTGTGGACTGTGGAGTGTGGAGTGTGGACTGTGGACTGTGGAGTGTGGAGTGTGGAGTGTGGAGTGTGGACTGTGGAGTGTGGAGTGTGGAGTGTGGGGTGTGGACTGTGGACTGTGGACTGTGGAGTGTGGGGTGTGGAGTGTGGAGTGTGGAGTGTGGAGTGTGGAGTGTGGGGTGTGGAGTGTGGGGTGTGGAGTGTGGAGTGTGGGGTGTGGAGTGTGGGGTGTGGAGTGTGGAGTGTGGGGTGTGGAGTGTGGAGTGTGGGGTGTGGAGTGTGGAGTGTGGAGTGTGGGGTGTGGAGTGTGGGGTGTGGAGTGTGGAGTGTGGGGTGTGGGGTGTGGAGTGTGGAGTGTGGGGTGTGGAGTGTGGGGTGTGGAGTGTGGAGTGTGGGGTGTGGGGTGTGGGGTGTGGAGTGTGGGGTGTGGAGTGTGGAGTGTGGGGTGTGGGGTGTGGAGTGTGGGGTGTTGTGACTAGAGTCTAGACTCTCTTAGTTCCACAACATAACTAACTTCATAAGGACTGGGATTAATTCTCATTCAGTACTACATGACTTACTCTAATCTCTAATCATCAAGAAGCTGGGTAAAACCATAAAGCCATCAAAACAAACAAAAGGGCTAATGCTACGTGGACGATAACGTCACACAAACATACACGTGATATTATGTACAACTTCGTGATGTAATCACGACATTCCCAAACACAGGTGGAGCGATCAATCACAAAAGACCTGGTGACCAAAGGGAGAAAGATTATAATAGCGCATAAGAACCGCGTATTTAGGTGATTATTATTATTTGGGTATTGTTAATGTTAACTAGGGCAGTCCCCACAGACGCATGTCTCCTGACAGGCTACGCTAATGATGTGACATATCTTGTGAACCAAATTGCGAAGGTACTGAAGAGCAAGGACACATAAGTCATGGAGCCCATACTACACCCTAGTGCCAAAGTAGTGAGTGGGAGAGCAAGTTGGCAGAGGAAAAGAAAACTCGAATAAAAAGGGGGGTGAACATAATTATACAGCTTGAGTGGATGATAGCTGATTGAGACAGACACCAGCATGGTGAACTAAACCAAGTCTGCCTCGTGCAAATCCAGGACACGTCCTAAGCCTTCGATAGCAGCTCGTCTTACCGGTCGAGAAGCTGTTGCAGGGACGTGTGCGTCGTTGGTTACAGCGGGAGGCTGTGGTTCATTCGACGAGTGGTCAGCAGGTCGAGCAGACTCACACTCCAACGGATATAGGTGCTGTAGTGAGCGCCGTAGGAGCTTGTTATTGGGCGTCCTCACAGTGGCGGAACGCGTTTCTCCATCACGACTAGCGTGAAGTTCGCTGATGATACCCAGTTTCCACATACCTCTGGGCGCGTCATCCTTGATGAGGCACACATGTCCAATCCTTGGCTTCACGGTAGAATGAGCAACCTGTTTCAACTGCGATTGTTGCCGTTCTCGTAGACTGGTTAGGTATTCAGATCTCCAACAGTTCCAAAACTCATTCAATCGCTTCTGACCTTTCTTCCACGTAGAAAGTAGCAGTTCCGCTGACGACATTGTTGGGGCGAAATCAGGGTCCTCTTCTACATGCCCTTGGGGTAGACTGATTTCGGCTGATAATGATAAGAAGTGGGCAGGTGTCAAGACCGTATAGATCTCATCGCTTACGTACACCAGCGGTCGTGAATTTACTACTGCTTCAACTTCGACGAGAATGGTTGACAGCTCCGTTGTTCCGAGAACTAGTCTGCCAATAGACTTACGGAGGGCTTTCTTCACGATTCCAATCAACCGTTCATAGAACCCGCCCATCCATGGGGAGAGTTGCACAATGCAAATCCATTCGATTCCATGGGAAGCAGCATAATTAAGAGTGTGGTCATCCTTCACAATGGCTTCCCAAGCAAGCTGTAGAGTCGATTTCGAAAGCAGGAATTGCTGAGCGTTGTCAGAGAAGATCTTGCGCGGTACTCCTCTTCTTGCCACAAATCTGCGCAATGCCATCAGGAACTGTTCTGTGGTCATGTCAGCAACAAGCTCGAGGTGGATGGCACGTGTGACCATGCACGTAAATAGGCACACCCATACCTTGTGGATGAGTCCATGTTCTCTGACTGTCATTGGGCCAAAGTAGTCGACGCCAACGTGTGTGAACGGTTTAGACTCAGCTACGCGCTCTGGAGGGTAGGGTGCCATTTTCGGTAGCGAGTACGGCCGACCATTGAACCTCTTGCATACACCACATTTCTTGAGTACAGTCTTGACGGTTTGTCGTCCTCTGGGGACCCAATAGTCATACCTGACTCGCGATAGGGTATGGTTAGTTCCACTGTGCAGCACCATGCGGTGACAGTCATTGATGATAGCTGTGGTTACTGGATGTGAACGAGGTAGAAGGATGGGATACTTCGCTGAGTTTGGTAGGGATGAATTCTCCAATCGACCCTTGCAGCGGATGAGGTTATGTTCATCTAGAAAGAGCGCAAGGTTTTGGACCAGCTTGTTCTTGGCGTTGCTTTTGATAGCCTCAATCTCCGGTGTATAGTGTGTTGC